CAGTAAACTCTACCATGATACAACACCCTCACAGAGGCCCAGAGAGATCTTGGACTGGAAGCTACAGAATTGTGAGCCAAAACAAACCTGTTCTCTTTATATGGTAGCCCTCACGTATTACAAAATAGAAATAAAATGCTGAATTATACATATGGGAATAGCATGGACACGATTAAGTTGGGATAACCATCTATTTTTTTTGTTTTTTTTTTTGTGTTTTTTGGTCGGTTGTGGGACTTGAACTCTGGGCCTGGGCACTATCCCTCAGCAATTTAGCTCAAGGCGAGCGCTCTACCGCTTGAGCAACAGTGCCACTTCTGGTTTTCTGGTGGTTTATTGGAGATAGGAGTCTCATGGTCTTTCCTGCCCGGGCTGGCTTTGAACCGCGATCCTCAGATCTCAGCCTCCTGAGTAGCTAGGATTACAGGCGTGAGCCACCTGTGCCCGGCTTCATCCATGTTTATAAATCTTTTTGCATGGGACTATACTTAAATATTAGTATTGACATTCTTATTAGACAGACCAGTATTTACTTCCTAAAGTGAAAATGTTACAGATGTTAAATGAAGTTACCGAGAAAATGTGTAGGATGTATGTTGCTATGTTTTGACAAAGACTGAATTTTTGAGTGCATGTGCCAGTACTCGCACTTGAATTCAGAACCTTATGCTCTTGCTTTGTTACTTTACTCAGGGCTGGTACTCTACCACTTTAGCCACACCTCCACTTCTTGCCCTTTGGTGGTTAGTCAGAGATAACCGTATTGGATTTGTCTGTGCAGGCTGGCTTCAAACTTCAGCCCTCAGATCTGAGCCTCCCAATTAGCTAAGATTACAGACATAAGCCACCAGTACCCAGCTTAAGACTGAATTAAAAATAATAGTAAGATGCCAATGTTCACCTGAGAGCTGGAGCTCACACCTGTAATCCTACCTCCTGCGGGTGTGGGGTGGGGAGGGAGAATATTAGGAGGATCCTACTGCCAGTTTCAGGCATCCTGGGCAAAAAGTTTTCTTAACCAATAGTTGGGTACAGTGGTGCACACCTTTCATAAATAGGATTGTGGAGCAGGAAAGCCTTACAAAAAGCAAGACCCTCCTGTAACAGGAGCAAAGGGGCTGGAGGCATGACTCAAGCAGTACAGTGCCTGCCTAACAATTACAAATCCCTGCTACTGCAACATTTCTTTAAAGATTATTTAGTTCCCTTTCTCTTTATAATTCAACCCTACAGACTGGATGATAGTACATTAAAGTAGCTGTAAACTAAACAGCACAATTTAATATGCTTTAACTTTGCTTTTAAAAATGAATCAAGCCAGGCTCCAGTGGCTCATGCCTGAATAATCGAAAACTACTCAGGAAGCTGAGATCTTAGGATCACAGTTCAAAGCCAGCCCAGGCAGGAAAGTGAGAGAGATTCTTTAATTAATTACAGAAAAGCCGGAAACACTACTTCAGGCTCAAGTGGCCAAATGCTAGCCTTGAGCAAAATGATCATAGGGACAGCAGCTAGGCCCAGAGTTCAAGGCCAAGGCAAGCAAAAAAAAAAAAAATCAAATAACTACCTTCACAAACTTCTACAGGTGGGGATTAGCACCTGTGTACATTAGGGTAAAATTATATTGCACTCTTGACGTGGGAGCAAGAAAGAGAAAAAAAACTTAAGAGCTTAGAGCATAAGAGGAGCTTGTATAAAAGAAAAGACCCAGTCAAGATCAGTCATTTCTGATGATATCATCAAAATGTCCCTTTCTCTCTACCACTAATAAGCAGAGTGATTTTCTGAGGCTTTCCACTCACTCATCTGTCAGAAGGAAATAAAGGAAGGAAATATTTTGCTTTCCCATATAAGTGTCAACAGCAAGCCTATGAAAACTAGAAAGAAAAATCTGGGTTTTTTTTTGTTTTTAGATTAAAGTATCCACACCCAGACCACATGTCATCTCTCAAGCTGCTCTAAAATTAGTACTTCCTTGTTGTTCGGAGCCATGAGTTTTAAGAGCTAAACCACTTCTTTTCCTTGGTTAAACATAAAACTAATTTAGGGAGCTTCTTAAACATACTCGACTAGAATCCTCAAATCTATATTCTGTATAGATTATGTTGTATACAGATAAGCATTAAGATAACAGTGTGTCCCCCACTTAAAGCTTAGGCAGAAAATAAAAAATTGACAGGTACAACCTGTACAGTAAGAGTGCTCATTGTGGAGTTTGGTACAGGGCAGTTCATTCCCCTTTGAATGTTTCAATTTTTACATGGAACAAACTCATAAAATAAAAAGGCATGAGAAGTTAAGAAGACCTGATTGGAAATAGGCAGGAAAAGGAACCTAATGTTTCTGAAGATGCATGAAGCTGTAAAGGCCAAGTCTATTCAAGCTAGCATAAGAGGTTGGAGAATAAAGATCAAATAAATGAAGATCATGGTTGTCTTAATGGCTAGAAATGATGGCTATTAGTCCTTCCCACGTCGAAATGTTTCTTTGTTTAATAAAATAAAAAGTGAAGACAGTGTGTGGCTCTTTAAAGAAAATAAGAATATACAGTGCCAGATCCTGAGGCACAGATCCTAGGCGAACTTAAAAAGACATTGTCTTGCTGGGCACCATGGCTCACACCTGTAATCCTAGCTACTCAGAAGGCTGATATCTGAGGATCGTGATTCAAAGCCAGCCCAGGCAGGAAAGTCCGTGAGACTCTTATTTCCAATTAACCACCAGAAAACTGGAAGTGGCACTGTGGCTCAAGTGGTAAAGCACTCACCTTGAGCTGAAGAACTGAGAGACAGCACGTAGGCCCAGAGTTCAAGCCCCATGACCAACAACAACAAAAAAGATTTTGTCTCAAAATAAAAATAAAAATGGTACCTGTGGCTCATGCCTATAATCCTAGCTACTCAGGAGGCAGATCTGAGGATCGTGGTTCAAAGCTAGCCTAGGCAGAAGAGCCCATGAGACTTATCTCCAATTAACCACTAAAAGCCAGAAGTGGTCATGTGGCTCAAGTAGTAAAGCAGCTGGCTTGTGCAAAAAAGCTCAAGGATAGTGCCTAGCCTGAGTTCAAGTCCTAGGACCAGCACCTAAAAAAAAAAAAAAAAAAAATAGGACTGGGGATGTTAGCTCAGTGGTAGAATTCTTGCCTAGCAGTCATGGACTCTGGTTTGCACACACACACACACACACACACACCCTTCAGACACAAGAGTCTGATTTTGAACTAGAGTTACCCATGTTCTTTGCCTCTACTGCATAGATCTACAACAAAAAAAAAGGACAATTTGTCAAAAACTAAACTTCCCAAAAGTAATCTCAAGAGAATGAGACCAATCACAGACTGATAGAAAATCATTGTAGAAGATATATCTGATAAATTTACCCAAAATATACAAAGAACTCTTCACATTTAACAACAGAAAAACATCTCAGCAGTTTTTTAAATGGCAGAAAACCTAACTAGACATCAAGAAGATACAAAAATATCAAAAAAGCATATGAAAAGACACTCACTGTCATGTCATCACAGAGGTTAAAATGATGACATACTAATACATACTATTAAGACTGCTCAGTCAGCAACATTGATAACACCAAATGCCAGTGTGGCTGTAGAACAACAGGAACTCTTCTTCATTGTTGGCAGGAATACAACAGCCCAGACCCATTGAATTTACACAGTGCATGAATCTTAATGTAAACTATGGCCATACAGTGATCACAACAGATAAAGTGTACCACTCTGGAGGGGGAAGCTGATAATGCGGCAGACCATGCATGTATGGGGATGGGGTAAAGGAACAATCTCTTTTCTTTCCTGTTCTGCTGCAAACTCTGAAAAAAAAATCTTTAATAGAGTTCTCATTAATAAAGACTAAAGGCAACAGTATAGATAGTAATTAGATTGTTTATAAGTAAGTTATGTTTTAGTGTAGGCTTTGCTCTGAGACTTTATCTAAACAGCTGCTTTTTGGGAGGGGGGGGTTGGTTGTGGGGCTTGACCTCTGGGCTGGGCGCTATCCATCAGCTTTTCAGCTCACGGCAAGCATTCTACCACTTGAGCCATAGCGCCACTTCTGGTCTTCTGAGTGGTTTATTGGAAATAAGAGCCTCACAGGCTTTCCTGCCCGGGCTAACTTTGAACCGTGACCCTCAGATCTCAGCCTTCTGGGGTTACAGGCATGAACCACCAATCCTGGCTAAACAGCTGTTTTTTAAAAACAATGGATTTGTTAGGTGCTGGTGGCTCACACCTGCAACTGTAGCTACTCACAAAGCTGAGATTTGAGGATCATGGTTTGAAGCCAGTCCAGGGAGGAAAGCCTGTGAGACTCTTATCTCCAATTAACTACCAAAAAAAGCTGGAAGTAGAGTGCTAGCCTTGATCACAAATGTTCAGGGACCTTGCCCAGGCCCCAGAGTTCAAGCCCTAAGACCGGCATGTGCGTGCACGTGCAAACATGCAAACACACACACACACAAACACACAGACTTAACATACATTGATGAGAGATGCAGTTGACAATTTATGTTTGCTGTTTCTTAAAAAAGCACATGAGTTCTAATACTGCAAATAAGCACTTTATTATCAAATAGTTGGGCATTAAAACAAGATTTCTAATTCCTAAATGGATTTCTTTACACAGCATCTTTCTGTGAGACACAAATTAGAAAATCTGACACTACATCATTTCACATTTGCAATTGGGTAACTTGATCTAAAATTATAAATCTCCTTCATTCTTAATGCTAAAATTATATTAATGCCAGGTTAAGAAACCTGGTTTTTACTGATAGTGATATAAAAATCCACTATAAGAAAAAAATCATTTGTGGGACTGGGAAGGTGGCTCAGTGGTAGAGCGCTTGCCTTGCATGCCTGAGGCCCTGGGTTCGATTCCCCAGCACCACATAAGCAAAAAGAAAAAAAGCCGGAAGTGGCACTGTGGCTCAAGTGGTAGAGCGCTAGCCTTGAGCTGAAGAGCTGAGGGACAGCACCCAGGCCCAGAGTTCAGGCCCCACAACCGGACCAAAAAAAAAAAAAAAGAATAAGAAAAAACTCATTTGTACTTACAGAGGTGGAACCCCTTTAACACAAAGAAAAAAATGAAGGATTTTATGCAATTATGTAAGGTGGATGAGACCAGAAGTAACATTCATTCGAAGATAATACTTTCATATTCAGTAATCCCATGGGAGAAATAAATGACTCAGAGTAAACAGAAAATTAAAATTAGCCCTTAGGCCTTTTTGAATTCCAATTATTGCTCTAAATTAGTCACTACTCCTCAGAATGATGCTCCAGAATATAAGCCTCAATAATTAAGACTGTTTTAGAATTTATTTTGTATAACTCCTTCATTTAGCCTTCCGCAGATTTATAATTAACTGAGTGGTTACCATACCCCACGCATGGTATGCTGGCTGAAATGGGATAATGACAGCATTCCTTGTCTAGCTACCCTTTAAGCAGCTGAATAATGGAACATATGGCCAAGATACTGTAAGTACGAATTCACCAAATGTATCCAATTTAAGTGACTCAAAAGAAGAAATGGTAAATATATAAGACATTTTCCTTTTTTCCTGTGTATAATCACATCTGACCAGGGCACTGGATGCTCTCTATGTAAACTTCAGATTTAGGTAGATGGAGAAGATTACCATCCTGATGACACAAGAATTCATCTGGTTGTAGCTCATCATAAATGCTGTCCATTAAGAACTGTTTTTTCTTTTTTTTTCTTTTTTATTTGAAGGGGAGAAAGGAAATGCTCAAAAAACTTCTTTCTTGTAGGTGGGAATTAATTTTTAAAGGCTCCAACTCTGCTAGCTTTGCTGATGAAGTTCTTCAGGAGATCATGATCCATTTCTGCAAAACCTGAAGTCTGTGTTACTACAGTCAGATGGTTTATGCAAAACCTGAAGCAGAATTCTTCCAGATCCTAGGAACAATAAAAACAGCAGTAACAAACTCATATATCCCAATGCAATGGAACATGGCAAGATTGTTCAAACAAGGAAATACTTGTGCAACAATACTGTACTAAAGAATAGTTACAAAAACTATAGTAGCACGGACTAAAGTATATAAAGTAGTATGGACTCAAGCCTGTAAAAACACAAATAATACAAAGTGAAATGTTCAGGTTCCCTTAACCAATGCAAAGAATCTGACTTTTTTCCAAAGATAGCTCAATTATTCAGTACCTGTTTTGAATGATAGCACTTGTAACTATTCTTTCCATGTTCAATATGTATTAAAAGTACTGCATCCCCATTTCTGTTCCCCTAAGCCCTTTAAATTTTCTACCTATAAAGACTTTGTAGAAGAAAAGGTGGGAGCCATAACAAATAGCATTGCTGGAGCCACGTGCCAGTGGCTCATATTTGTAACCCTAGCTACTCAGGAGGCTGATATAAGAATTGAGGTTATAAACCAGCTGCCCTGATAGGAAAGCCCATGAGCTCTTATCGTCAATTAGGTATCAAAAGCCAGAAGTTGAGGTGTAGTTCAAGTGGTAGAATATTAGCCTTAAGCACAAAAGCTCAAGGACAACACCCAGGCCCTGAGTTCAAGCCCTAGGACTGGCACCAAAAAGAGATAGAGAAAAAAGTAATGCCAGGAAAATACTTTCCTTTTATAAGAGGACACTGCTGCTTTTCCTTTTCAAGACGACAGAGTAGAATGGATAGATTTTACCATGCTACACACACCTTCAGTAATCTTAACTAGGGGGTAGCTCAGTGGTATTGTATAAGCTGAGCATTTTCAGGGTGCTGAGTTCAATCCCAGGCATCAAAATAATATCAGGTATATCTCAAACTATAATTGTATATATATATATATATATATATATAATATGTAAAATTATAGTATTTATTTTTTGTACTGCTAGGGATTGAACTAAGGCCCTTGTGTATGATAGGTATGTAATCTACCAATGAGCAACACTCTCATACCAGCAGATGTAGTTTTTTTTCCCCCTGAGGAAAATTAAGATTAGCCTGCTGAACCCCAATAAGCCTCAGAACCTGGGCTATTCAGTCATCAGATCCAGCACAAGATGTGACAGCATAGTCTATTTTTAAAGCTCCTTCTCTATGTTGCTAAAGCTAATTTTTTTTAACCCTAAGTAACTTCCTAGAAATCATATAAACACATTTCACACTCTCCTGTTTTCTTCTTTAGATACATAGAAACTATGGCAAATGCTGATGACAAAACAGCAGTATAATAGAAAAGCTGAGGATGCTGACAGTCATGTCAATGGACCCATGAACCTCGAGTACATTTATTTTTAGGAAAAGAAACAAACTACAGGAAGAAAAGCTACTCAGTACAGACAAGCAAGCTGCTAAAAGTCATATTGGCAGTGTGATATATTCCAAGCTCTGGATATATTCCAATCTCAGAGATGAAATGGGAAATTCACATGCACTTCTGACACTGTGGCTTGTCATTACACATAAAAATATGTTTTGTTGATATACGCTCACTATCCCAAAATACACTTAAAAATCATACAGTTTGACTTGAAGTTTAGAAATGAAATGTTTGTATATAGCACACAAAAGTGCACTGAAACAGATATGTCTCTTTGACTGAATTTTGCAGTCTCTGCCTTTGATGTCCATCCTAATAGACGCTTTATTTCTACTACTTTTATTGTTTAGTTTTCTTTTCGTGTCACATCTTTAATCTCCTAGAGTTTCGTTTAGTTTAGGGAACTTCTGTTGTTTCCAGGTCAGCTAGAGAAGGCTGCTTTGTCTCACCTGGGCATCATACTTCACAGCAGTGGAGAGCAGAGCAATGGCATTTTCCTCACAGATTCCTTGCTTGATAGTTTGTTGGCAGAGTTTTTTCAAGTGATTTTCTCTATAAAATGTGGCCAGATCTAGCAATCCTGGTGGGAAGAAGTGTTTATTAAGATGTGCTAGGGAGGCATGTCAAGCATCCTGATTGAAACTGTGTGACACTTGGTAGAGTGCTGTGTAAGCAGACTATCCCTGATTTACACTTGGAGAGTGCAGCTCCCCTAAGATGGTGACAGAACTGAGCAAATAAGCCCACAAGCTGTAAGAAAAACTGGAGCAAAGTGAAGATGCTTTAATGATTTCCTGGGGGGAGGGGTGGAAGAACATGCATATGCTTATGTTAATAACAAGCCCCCCTGAACTGTAACTGTCTTCTCCCAGATGTGGCCCATCAGCGATCATGCTGTGCTAGAGTCCATCCTTTAAAAAGGAAAGTGGCTGAGGATGTGGCTCCGTGGTGTAGTGCATGTGCTTAACATGCTCAGAGTCCTGGGTTGAATCCCCAGCACCAAAGAAATAGAAGAGAAACTTTTTTCATTGAGAGCATGTCTGCCTCCTGTAACTGCCCCATCTCTCTACTCCTCTCTATTGTAAAACTCCTAGAGGGCTGTCTACATCTGATGGCTCTTATCTCTGATTCTGTCTTCAAAAGGCCAGTCCAACCAAAAGCCTACCCCCACCACTCATGAAGTCCCTCTGTAGGGCTAAACCTAAGGTTCAGTCTCTGTTTTCCTCTTATGCAAAGCTCACATTGAATTGGAAGTGTGTGATGATACTTCATGGCACCCTCTGCTCTTGTTTATGTTTTTCTTCTCCTTTATTGGGGACTACCAAATTCCCTGGTTGGGCCATTGTACCCAACTTCCACAGCATTCAGACTCAGATACTTATTTGATTATTTCAGCAAGTGAGCTCCAGCCTCTGTTTTAAATATCATCTATACCTTTCTGTACATCGCCTTTATAATAACAATAAAAAATAAAAATAAATAAATACCATGTGCAGATGCAGATGGGCCCAGAGGTATTACATGTCACCAGTTTCAAATAGTTAGATGGAGACTGAGTTCATCTATCCTAATGAAAAATAAGATAGCTCCTCATCAGCAATGGTCAACTAACATTGGAAGATCCTATTTGTTTTCAGATATTGCCCTCTAAATCTTTATTAGAAGGTTTAATTAGCAGAGAGAAAGTTACTGATGAATAAGTGCTCTTGAAGATATATGGCTTCTGCCCTTGTATGAGTGGAGCTCCGGCCCTGGCACCCAGTAGCCAGACACTCTTGACAGATACCTATGCCAGGTCTACAGTTAGTCCTGGGTTGCCACCTGATCAATAGATTGACTGACTCTTGCTTACTAGAATATTGTCAAATCCTCAAGTTCCCCTTTCATGCAGAGGGTTGAGCTTTCCAGCGTGCCTGAAAGAAGAAGCTGGTATTTCATTATTGTTAAGCTATTAATTGTGCTTGTATTTGTCTCCTAATAAGTTTTGTCCATGTGGTAGAATCTGATCAGAAACCCTCCTTCATTATAACATGGCTAATAGAAAAAAATTAAGGCAGACCTAGGGCTCACTGAATCTTTCTGAAACCTGTGAATTAATGAATTATTTGGAATCAGTTCCCCCCGAACACTGAAATTCACACCAGCAACCCCAAATTCTAGACTCAATAGATGCAGTCCACCTGAAGAGAAACCTGCCTGCATCCCAGGCTCTGCCCCTCCTCCATTTATCCTCTTGTCACAAGAACCCCAGGCCTTGCAGCTCACACTTCGGATATGTGGAAACCCATAGGGCCTGAGGCTCATGTGTGGAAATTTCTTCCCTCTGACAAACCACACCACCAGTGTGCAACCCCAGATGTGGCCCAGAATCGGGATGGGCTAAGTTTGGACATGCAGGCTGCAGGGCCTGCACAGTCCTTGTTATGCAGGATGTAGCTGCAATCTAGAGGCCAGAGATCTGTCCTTCCTGTACCACTGCATTCTAGCACAACCCCAAACCACAGTGCTGCCTTCAGAACAGGATGGATAGTTGAGGTTAACTGTAAGTTTTTAGATAGACAATATAGATGGCTATTGGGACTATTCCCCTTGTTATGGTGGGCCTACCAAAAAGCAAGGAAAAAATTTAAAAATTCAAATAAAATAAAAACTGTCCCTGAGATGTTAATTAAAGTAGTTCAAACTTCTTTAACTTTTCAGACTGTAAACTGAATTGCTCTGTACCTCCTTCATCTTGGCTGATAACACTTGCCCTAATCCAACTAGGCAAGCCAGATACCTCAGCAAAGTCAATCCTTCTCCTAACACAAGACATTCCATCCGTAAATCTCACCAGCCTCATCTTCAAAACATATCCAGAATCTTATCTCTTCTCAACATCTCCACTGCTACATCCTCTAAAACACAGAGCCCACCATTTCTCACCTTAACAATTAAAATTACTGACCTTTTACAAACAGATCACATGTCTTCCATAGCAAAGCTGATAGTTGTTACCCTCTATACACCTATACACATGGACACACACACTCATGCATGCACGTGCGCACGCACGCACACACACACACACATACACACATATTCCGCCCTTGCTCCAAATCATAGAATGTTTGGCTATGTCATGGACATCTGGATATTCCCACTTTCCCAGTCTCCTGTGCAAGCAGGTATGGCCTAACTGCTCTAGTCCACTGGCCAAGGCTATTCTTTCATTCCTCCATCCTGCTACCTGTGATATTCCAGTGATAGTTTGATATTCCACTGACCTCTCTCTACCCAGGAAACCTTTATGTGAAGTAACAACAATGGCATAGTTTAGGTTCCTAGCATGGGGATGGACCTCAGTGGTAAAGCTTGCATGAGATTGTGGGTTCCCTCCTACCCACACTCAAAAAAAAAGAGTTTGAAGTCAACACACAGAAAAGAAATTCCTCTGACTACCCTCACTGTTATTTTCTTTTAGGCTCTATAGAAACCACCTGTCAACATTTTGCCAGTTTCTTGGTAAAATTCTTGGGCAGTTACCTACTGCCTCCTCGGGAGGAAGGCTGATGCTGTCTGTATATAAGTACTCCAGGAAGGCTCGGTACACAGGATAGGAAAATTCACTCATTTCTACAATATCATCCTCGTTGTCTTCCAAGGAAGAACGAAAATGCTCACACCTGAAGAAAGAAAGAAAATGGATCTGATCAAGATTGCAGGCCAGAGCCAAAGGCTTTCCAGAGGATTACACTCTTTCTATAAAGCTGCACACCTTCCTCTTTGTCATAATATAGACCTTGAGACTGCAAATGCTTGGTCTCAGGGTGGCATACTGGAAGATGGCAGAACCTTTAAGAGGTAGGGTAGATATGAAGGACATATTCTCGAGGAGTACTGTAGGACCCAAGCCCCTTTCTCCTTCTTTTCTCTCTGTGCATAAGGGCTCTTGCCATGATATGCTACCATACAACAGGCCCAAAACAATGAGGCCAGTCGATCACTCATTGGCACCCCCAAACTATGAGGCAAATAAGTCTTTTTAGCTAGACATATAGCAGATGCCTAGCATGTGTGGGTTCAATCTCTAGAAGTAACTACTAAGCCTATTGTTAGTGGTTCATTGTCTCAGCTATTTTGTTACAGTGATAGAAAAACTGACTAAGCTAACATCCTTGCCTTGGCTCTTCACTTTCTCTGCTGGCCTGAAGTTTTTCATCATTTATTCAACAAGGCTGCAAATGCAAACTACTATTGCTGTGCGTGGTCAGGGCAGCTGCCTCTTACGTGTGCTGCTGAAGATGCCATTTTTCTCATAACATCCCTACTGAAATAAGGAAGGTTGATAAAGATGAGCCAATGTATTTCTTGTGATCTGTATCACAAGATACAGTGAACTGTGTTGCCTAAAAGTTCTTGTATTGAACTCAAACCTCCCAAGTAGTTAGTTAAAATAGGTCATTGTAGTTTGCCCTACTCCAATATTACTGGTGTCCTTACAAAAAGAGGAAATCGGGACACAACCCACACACTGTGGATGATCTGAGGCAAACTGTCACATGAACAGAAATGCCAGAGATTGTCACGAACTATTAGAAGCCAGAAAAGGGAATGGGGCAGATCCTCCCTCCCAGCCTCATTTAAAAGTCATACTTCCGACAACTCAGACTTCCAGCCTCCGGAAGTGTCAGAGCTATTTCTATGTTGTACAGAAAAGTGGTCCACCTGCTGCCTCAATGAAGGCTTATGTGCTACGATGGTGAGAGTGAATTCATGAGCCACAGCCTGACCTTAAGAAAGAGGAATTTGAGGCTGAAAGGTCATTTCAAGTCTGTGAATAATATATAGAGAATTTAAATATCAATTACACAACAATATGATGAATCTCAAAATTATTATGCCAAGAGGGAAAAAAGCTGGGCACAAAAGAAGATATATTGTATCAGTTTCTATAAGTCTCTAGAATATGTAAGTAATTTGTGGTAGAGAAAGAGCATGGGATGCCCAGGCTGGGGCCAACAGGCTCATCTTGGGGCAGAACTCTTCCAGGTCTAGATGTCTGGAGGTGGGGCCATAGTCTCACAGGTGTGCACAAAAGTCATCCAACACACATCTGAAATGGATACTACTCATTGTTCATAAATTAAACCAACACATGTGATTGTAAACATCTCTATGCTGCCATCATCCAGACTGAACGCATGCTACCATGGGCTGAGCTCAGTCTCCTGGCAGGGAAGATAACTTAGGTCAAAGCTCTTGACAAGCATAAAACACATTTACCCAATGGCAGCTGGCTACTCTGTAATGCCGAGGTGGACAGAACCTTGAGAAATGACCACAGCACTCTTTCCCCACTATGCACCCAGCACTGTCACAGTGACCAGCAGTACTTCCTGTTTCCCAAATCCTGCTTCCCATAGTTGCATTGTGCTCCCAGGGGCAAAGAACACTTTTTCATAAACATTGAAGTGCCACAACAACTTTCCTCTCAATTCTATGCTGGTATAAGCATTAATAAAAATTAATTACCAGCCAGGTGCTGGTGGCTCACACCTGTAATCCTAGCTTCTCAGGAAGCTGAGATCTAGGATTGCAACATGAAGTCAGCCCAGTTGCGAAAGTCCATGAGACTCTTATTTCCAATTAACTACCAGAAAACCAAAATAGAGCTGTGGCTCAAAGTAGTAAAGCACCAGTCAAGAGCAAAAAAATCTCAGGAATTAGCACCCAGGCCCTGAGCTCAAGCCCCATAACCAATATATGAATAAATACATGAATAAATAAAATTACTGAAGTGTTCAGCAGTTCCTTGGACAAGGAAATAACTGTTGAATGGACTGATGTTAATTCTCAAAATAAATGATCCCTTACCTAATTTTGAGAAGGACTTTGTGTGTATAAATGTATTTTCCATCAACCAGAAACTTGAGGTCTGCAGTGTCTGGGTTGTCAAATTCTCTCCTCAGTGACTCAGCAACTGTGAGGTGATCATCAGGTTCTAAGAAAGCAACACAAGGGTTCTAGGCTCAGCCACAGCTACATGACCCTGTCCACAGGCTCACACCTATAGACCTCGATGAGGCCTAGCTCTTCCAACATTCACAAAATACTGATTTGCTAAATAACTGACCAACTGAGCAATGCTTTCTCATAAAATATGGATTCACATTTCTGCAATCCATAAAGATTAAAAAAATCACACCTATTTGCTTATGAGTCTTACCAAAACACCAAGTAAGTCCCAATCTGCTTCACTAATTTTGAATGAAATAATAAAATGGTTGAGTGAATAGCCTAGCTAAAAAAATATGTGTAGGCAGGCACCAGTGGCTCACGCCTATAATCCTAGTTACTTAAGAGGCTGAGATCTGAGGATCCCAGTTCAAAGCCAGCCCAGCCAGAAAAGTCCCCATGAGACTCTTATCTCCAATTAACCACTCCAAAAGTGGAAGTGGAGCTGTGACAAAAAATGGTAGAGTGCTAGCCTTGAGCAAAAGAGCTCAGGGACACTACCCAGGCCCTGAGTTCAAGCCCTACCACCACCCCACTCCACCCACCAAAAAAATGTATCTGTGTGTACATTAAATTAAAAAAGCAATCAAATAAAATTTCTTCTAATTTAGTGTTAGTGGTGTTTCCTGATGATTTTAAGAAAAGTAACCAACTTCTCTTTCACAGGAACCCACTAGAAGGAAATGAATCTGAACCCTGCCCCCAAGGAAATCCTGATACCAAAATGAAAGCATTAGGTTTTCTTCCTGGTTTTTAGGCCATGTGGCAAATGGACAGAGACCAACTCACCCACAGAGAGGAGGCGCCAAGTGACAGCCGGGGTGGCGAAGCACGCAAACACGTCGTCTGTGCAGGAGAAGTGGGTGAGGTGAGGGAGGATGACGGACTGGCCCCGGCACTGGCCCCACATGTACACGTGCCCACCCTGGGTCTTGGCTGCAGACGTGTGAGTGGAGTGACAGGCTGCAATCTCTATGACCCTAAATTCACAAGCAAACACCACAGAAATACAGTAAGCAAGAGGAAAGCCAGACTGTCTCTACCTTCCCTCTGTGTAACTGATTTGAGGCATCGTAAACTTAACTTGAGAGAAGCAGGTCTAAGAAGAGAGAGAGAGAAAAAAAAAAAGGAGCAAAACAAGACTTGGCAGCTCACCTCCTAAATTTTCAGGCATCAAACACTGGAGCTACATTTTAGTGACATTTATAACTCATCTGTTTTAAGGATCTGTTTATTATTCCTGCAATCCAGTAGGCCTATAAAAAATTCACACTATCCCATTCCGAAATTCAAGTACAAGCAAGTCAAGTGGACATCAAAAAGAAAAGGATGATTTCGTTCTTTTTTTCTCTCTTAAAACATTACTAGGGGGCTAGGAATATGGCTTAGTGGTAGAGTGCTTGCCTAGCTTGCATGTAGCCCTGGGTTCGATTCCTCAGAACCACATAAACAGAAAAAGCCAGATGTAGCACTGTGGCTCAAGTGGTAGGGTGTTAAACTTGAGCAAAAGAAGTTCAAGCCCCAAGACTGGCAAAAACAACAACAACAAAAAAAAAACAGAACATTACTTGGTAGTTAATAAAGACATCGACTATCATGGCTTAGAGTGAACAAATACATATTTTAGTCATAACTTTGCCATTTTGAGCTGGAGATGTGACTCAGTGGTAGAGTTCATGGCCCTGGATTCAATCCTCAGCTCAAAAAGATAAATTTCACCTAATTTGAGGTTAAAGAGAGTATGCAGAGTCATCCCAACTCCCACTGATTGCATAAATTCAGTACATTTTTTGTTTTGGTTTTGGTTTTGTTTGGGGGATGCTGAGGATGAAATCCAGGACTAAGTCAACTACAGCCAGACAGTAGTTTCCTGGGCTGACTCAGTGAAGACCCTCCTATTTAAGTTCTTGAGTGAAGGAGACATTGTTGTGAGAACACTTCCTAATGGAAAACATTGTCCTATTGATCAAGAAACAATTTCTTTTCTGTACAACTAAGCTACTACTCAATTTGAAAGAAGACAGTAACTCTCTGACCCTAAGTAAGCTCGCATCTCAATTCTGAGGTTCCAGGAACCTCAGAGATGGGTTCAGCACTTAATAGTGGCCTCTGAATTCTCTCATGTGCCACTTCCTCCAGAACAGCAAGTTCCCAAGCAATGCTCTTCTTTCTAAGTGTTTCTATCAGCCTGGTCATTGGCCAGACACACTCCTTATCTATGACACCCACAGTCTCCCTGGGCTCTGGCCGTAGATTGTCTCTCTCCTTAGCCCCAAGTCACACCAAACTGGCAGCTAGCAATCCTCCTGAGACCTCACACCCACCAAGACTGAGAGCCGACAGTAAGGCTGTGCAGAACTTGGCTTCCTCTTCAGTGCTGCCTTCACGCAAATCACGTTGGTTGTATAGCATGTATTCTGCCCCCTTGAGGTTTACATTCATGGCTACCATGCTTGTTCAGAACAGCAATGTTTCCTTTTTCCTCTGCCTTACAAACCTTACCTGTCTTGTGAGGCCTTGAGTGAGATGCTCACCTAAGCAATTATAGCATTTTCCGTCTATGCCACTCCAGTTTGGCCTTGATTTATTTTCATGTGTGTAAAGTTCACCTTTTGGTGTCAGATTACAAGATCTCATCAGGCCTGATCACTGGCTTATCCTCCTAGATCTCTAAGCATATAATACAGTGCCTTAGTAATGCAACTTACAGGCTTTGACTGGCTAACCAGGGCAGATTCTACAACTTAGGGCAGCTGAGGGTTGGGTAACACCTCACTGGCCAAGGGCAGCAGAGGGCAATGTCCTCCCCTGCCTCCTCAAGATGTTTCCCAATAGGAGGAAAATTGTTCAACACAACCTGGAGGCTGAGGTGTTGGCTCACCTCACAAGCTTGACACATAGTGTCTTCATGGCCAGCACAAACAATTTCACTGACTTATTAGAGGACAGCTCTCAGCTCTTCAATACCCAGTAGTACTAGAGGGAAAGAGACCATGAAGTACCACAGTGGAGAACCTGGAATTCAGATTTGAATCCCAGCCCTGCCTTAAAACTGAGAGGCAGAAGGGAGAACTCTTAGGCTCTGGGAGCCTCAGTTCATTACACTGCAGGATTGGCATGGGAGTTCAAATAAATGCTAAGTGCCAAGCACAGTGTCTAGTGTACAAGTGACATAAGATTTTTCTTAATGTTCTTAATACAGTCAAGGACAAAATTACAATGAATTACTTTAATGATCTTAATTGGCTTCATTTTCAACTCTAGAATCGGAGAACATTTCCTTCCATGAAACGGAAGAAGCATTCCAATGGGCTGAGCAACCGTGATTGGTTACATAGGCAGAGAAGGGCTAATGGAAGGCAGATGGAAACACAGTTACTGTCCTTGTAAAACAGGGACACAGAGATTGAACTGTCAGGAAATGACTGACTGGCTGGCATCAGGCTACCTCAGGTTACCTTTCTGCATTAAAGATTAAGGACAGGGAATGTCACTCTTATGTGAGTTAAAATGAGTCTGCTTAAGAACTTTTGTTATCTCTCTAATCCTGATTTCTCAGAAAATCAGATAAACAATTGAGTTCCAGCTCTTCGATGGGAAATTTAACATGAGAAACTCCATTTTGATTTTTAGTCCAGTATAGGGAGCCCGAGTGCAGAGGTTTGGTCCGAATCAATGGGCCTCTGGTAGTTTTTAACTTAGCACTCTCATTGCTCAGCATTTCAAGTGACAGATGACTCTCCAAGAAGGTACAGTATTTTGAACGACCAAATTAGTACACCTTCTCTAAAAGAGGCCTTTTCTGACATGATCATGTCTGGGTTAGACAACTGGCTCCAACTTCCACTCTGCAAAGAAGCCTTGACCCAAAGGAAAATGGTTCATACTATTTGGCTTCCCAATAAGCATACTCATCAACAAATAAAGCAAAGGGAAGAAGGAAGTAGAGGAAACTTATCTACTCAAAGGTAAGTACATCCCCTGCTCCTGTCTACTTCTTGACAAGCAAACCTGAAGGAAATAGCGCCAGTCCTCTGGGATGGTCTGAGCTGGACAGGACATGGGCTCAAGCTAATTAATTTCAATCTTAGAATCAGTTTTATCCTCTTTTCAGAGGGAGGGGAAAGCGGGCACAGGCAGGGGATAAGATAAGGTGATCTCACGGGTTTGTGGTGCAGAAGAAATGAAATGAGGTACCCAGCAGAGTGGAGCATTAAAAAAAAAAAGCCGGGTGCTGGTGGCTCACGCCTATAATCCTAGCTACTCAGGAGGCTGAGATCTGAGGATCGCGGTTCAAAGCCAGCCCGGGCAGGAGAGACCATGAGACTCCTATCTCCAATAAACCACCAGAAAACTGGAAGTGGCACTGTAGCTCAAGTGGTAGAGCACTCGCCTTGAGCTGAAGAGCTGAGGGACAGCACCCAGGCCCAGAGTTCAAGCCCCACGACCGACCAAAAAAAAAAAACAAAAAACCACTTCTTGAGGTACTAAAAGGAAGAGACCTGGGGAGCTCACTGGGTCCCAGAGGCTTTGGACTTGTCAGAAATGGACCAAGAGCCTGTAAGGCTGAGAAGTGAGTGAGCCACCAGGTAGGCAGAGGGCAGACATAGTGAAACTGGAGAGAGGCACACACTACAAGTGCTCCTAACAGAGTACATCTAGGGGCAGCAAGCCATGTCTTACAAAGAACTATGCTGTCTTATACCCGGGGGACAGGTGTGGGCCAGGCTGACCCCAGCAGCTGCTATAAGAACAATAAGTTCTGTCTTGATCTCAAGTGGTAGGCAAACGGGAAACAGCTTTGTGAATGGGGTAGTAAGGGAGAAAAGTGGTGTTCTGAGAAGTATCCCTCTGGCAACAATGAGAAAGATAGTCTGAAAGGGAGAGAAAGGATAGTGGGAAGCTAGCTAATAGAGGCCAATCTCATTCAAGCCATGTCACCACAGAGGAAGCAGGGTAGCTTGCATTTCCAAGGACAGGACTCGAACATGGCCCCAGGAGAATGTATCTAGGAAAAGCCCAGCCTCATGGTACTGAGGGAGGCCAAAATAATACTGGCCTGGCCTGGTACTGCTTTGGGCTCAGCATACAGAGTTACACAGGAAATAAAAGAAAGAAAAGGTCGTGAATACTTAACCAGTCCGTGGTAAAGATGTGTGGTGCTGGGCCATCCCAACAATCTTTCCTTAAGCATTGGTGAGCTGCACATGCTCTCTTCCTATCTGAGCCCTTTCATAATAACCTACAAAGCACAGACTGTTACTTTTATTTGAATTATTTCTGTGCACTCAGAGACCAGGTTAAAAAAAAACATCTGGCTCCCTTTTTCTTGATAATATTCTACAAAAAATGCCACTAACGAACACAAGAGTGTCCTGTACAAAACAATCCAACATGAGAAAAGCAACAAAATTTAGTCTCTGTGTTCCCTTCTGAAGTGTCTGTCATTAGACACTTAGTCTATCATTAGTCCTTCATCAATGAAGGACTACAGTCACTAAAGCAGCTGGTGATCTGGGCCGGGCTTGGGCAGGCAGAGCAGAGGAGGGAGGTGAGGAGGGAACACTGACACTGGCTGCCCAAGGCACGGCCTTGAGACATTTACCTGGCACACCTCGCTCCACAAGGGAAGTCAGGGGTGGGGTGTGGGCCGGGCTGACCGCAGCAGCTGCTACATAGGAACAAGAGTAGAGAGAGTTTAGTGGGGTATCTTCAGGTCTGGGCTTGGAACCCAAGCAAACTGCCATAAAACCTTCTCTGTGCCTTGGGCAGGGTCAGTAGTGAAATATGAACTCAGAGCTTCATGCTTGTTGGGCAGGTACTAAGCCACTTGGGTCCTCTTTTGCTCTAAGTTATCTTTTAGATAAGGTCTTGCTTTTTGCCTAGGCTAGCGTGGAACACAATCCTCCTCTTTATGATTCCCACTAAAAGTGGGAACAATTCAATGTAGATGGAGTCTCCCTTTTCTCTTTGGGGAGCTGGTAACTAAGAACTAAAGACCTGTTCTTGACCCACCTCAAATGCAATTATACTCCTCACTAGCCAGACTCCCATAAGGGACCTGGAAGAGTCAGAGGGAGGTTCCTGAGGAAGAACTCAACCTGTGTGCAAGGTTCAGCCACTAAAATGGGTGGAGAATGCAGAACAAATCAAGCAACTGTGATAGGCCAAACAGACACTGAGCAAGCTCAGAAATACTGCCACCCCAAACCAAGCCTAGAAAAGTAAGGCAGTCAGAAACATCTCTCATTCATCCATGATTTTTTTTCTGTCAAAATAATGTTAATATAGACACAGCAAATGCACAGATGCATAGCTGGCTCCATCTTCACAATTTAAAAACAACTGCAGTTTTAAAAGACAGAAAGGCATAGTGTATAGTACCTAGTGGCTCAAACCTGTAATCTTGGCTGCTTAGAGACAAACAACTGGGAATCAGTTTCAAGAACTATATGGGGAAGAAAGCAAGATACTACCTAAAAAAAAAAAAAAGAAAGAAAGAAAAGGAAAACAGAAAAAAGAAAAAAAGGGTTGGGGGCATATCTTAAGTTGATCACCTGAGGAAGCTCTAAGTTTAGTACCGCAAGCATGTGTGCACATGCGCGTGCACGCGCGCACACACACACACACAAAAACACACACACAAACACACACACACACAGGCAACAGAAACTCTCAAAGTCCCCAACTTGGTACTTGTCATTGTTAGTCCCTGTTTCTGTTCATTCTCTCATAAACTGTCTGTCCCCCAGGAACTGGTCAGAAGACCAAGACTAGTGGTCTACACCAGGGACCAATAGACAACATGAGCAAATCACCAGGGTGGCGGTGAGGGTGGGGGTAGAGTAGTAACAACAGACTACAAGCCAGGGATACAGGAACTAAAGTTGTTAAGTATAAATACACCATAAAAAGCAGGAATGTAAAGAAAAAAAAGTAGGAATGTGTATGCCATGTAAATCATTGTTTTGATGTCCAGCCTGTCTTCATATGATTCTTCAACAGGGCTGGGAAGGTGGCTCAGTGGTAGAGTGCTTGCCTTGCATGCCTGAGGCCCTGGGTTCGATTCCCCAGCACCACATAAGAAAAAAGAAAAAAGCCAGAAGTGGCGCTGTGGCTCAAGTGGTAGAGCGCTAGCCTTGAGCTGAAGAGCTGAGGGACAGCACCCAGGCCCAGAGTTCAGGCCGCATGACCGGACCCAAAAAAAAACAAAAAAAAAACATATGATTCTTCAACACTTTGTTGATCAGGCTAACTGCTAAGTGTCCCACTAACTGGACTGGTGGTATGGTCATTCAAAGCATCAAGACTGTGTGTCTTGTGTGTCCTTCCTAAGTAGTTCTGAATACCTTTACAAAACAAGCAAACCACAACTCTGTAGGCATTCCTGAGCCAGTTCATCCTTCCACTGTCCCCCATCTCTGAATTTAAGATTTTAAGGGTCTAATTCTAAGACTTTGGGTAGAAAAGAAAAAAACACCTTTTTTAGGACCTATTCAACAAAAGTTCAATACAGTTCACCAAGTTCACAATAGGCAAATGAAAACTGAGGTGGCTAAGAAATGACAATTTGGCTCTTTAATTGTTATATATTCCAACAGAAAAAATCTAAAATATGCTGTACAAATGCTAATCAATTTATCTTTATTTTTATTATTTTGTGCTAGCCCCAGGACTTGAACTCAAGGCCTAGGAGCTGTCCCTGAGTATTTGTGCTTAAAGTTGGCAATTTGCCACTTAAACCAGCTCTACTTCCAACTTTTTAGTGGTTAACTGAAGATAAGAGTCTCACAGACTTTCTTGCCTGGACTGGCCTTGAAGTGCAATCCTCATATGTTAGCTTCCTGTGTAACTAGGATTAAAGATGAGAGCCACTGGTGCCCAGTTTCTCATGTTTGTTTCAAATCAAATATAATAAAAATGACATGTGAAATATAAATAAGAACAGTGGTATTAGTTTCTTTTTTTGGGGGGAGGGTCCAGTTGTGGGGCCTGAACTCTGGGCCTGGGCGCTGTCCCTCAGCTCTTCAGCTCAAGGCTAGCACTCTACCACTTGAGCCACAGCACCACTTCAGGCTTTTTTTCTTTTTGCTTCTGTGGTGCTGAGGAATCGAACCCAGGAGCTCAGGCATGCAAGGCAAGCGCTCTACCACTGAGCCACCTTCCCAGCCCCAGTGGTATTAGTTTCTATAATGACTACAACCCTAGTTTAAAAGAAAAATAAAAGGTTTACTTCATACTACTGTGTCTTGAAATGATGAGTGAAGGGATAGGGACATGGCTCAAGTGGCAGAACTTTTGCCTAGAAAGCTCAAGGACTTGGGTTCAATCCCTCACAGAAAGGAAGAGAGGGAGGAGGGAAGGAGAAACAGAGGGGGGGAGAAAGGGAGAAACAGAGAGCGGAAGAAAAGGAAAGAGGAAGAAAGAAGGGAAAGAGAAAGAAAGGAGGAAGGGAGGAAGGAGGGAGAGAGAACAAATTGAAAGCTAAGAAAAAGAAAAGAAAAAAAGAATGAGTGAAAAGGCAATATGGTCATTCTTATGAAATCCAGTAGGCTTTCAAAAATATTAGGATTATCTAGAAACAACTTCCATATTTGTAAATTACCTAACATAACCCTGTACACCAGAAAGGACTTTTTTCCTAACTATTTTACTCTTTCTCATAGTGATAGCTTGAGGGTTAAAGTATCAAAATAACATTTCATCTGTACCTGGCAAATTTTACAAGTAAGTGAGGACTGTTATAGGAACTAAGGACTGGCTTCATATCCCACCAAGGTACCAAAGACAGACCTCAAATGTTGTCAACTTCCCTTTCAGTATGAAAATCTCCAAAGAGGAAAAAAGGGTAATTTGTGATTTGAATGTGGAATTGCTATTGTGGGCTTAGTTGTAACAGTTCACATAACTGAGGTTAGCTATTAGAGGAACAGGTGAAAAGAAAACATTTAACATATAACCAACCTCCCCAACCATTCCCAATCAACTTTTAAAAAAGGAATACTCTGGACAAATAGTCTAGTGCTAGCAGTAAAGTTCCCACAATCCTTTGTTGTGAATTCTGAGTCTTCTTTAACTTTACAGAGCACTGGGGTAAGTTTGAAAATGCACACATTACCTGTCCTTCTCCACAACGACAGGGGTAGGATAGGACTGGTTACTTTTATTGCCAGTGCCCAACTGGCCATAAGAATTTGCACCCCAAGCATACACTTGACCTTCATCTGTTAATACTAATGTGTGTGCGTAGCCACAGGCAACCTGTGGAGACAAAAAAACAAACCCTCTCAAGATTGTAAATAAAAGGAAACATCTCACTATTTCTAAAAAGTAGGTTAAGAATGAAAATGGAACAAGAGGGGGAGGCAGCCTGCCCATAAACAAACATTAAGCTAACCAATACTCTTGCAGTATAGGCACAAGCTCCCTGAAAGGCTGGAACTTCAGGAAAGACGTAGGTGAGTCCTTCTGACTTCTCAGCCTGGATCACTGGCTCTCCTGAGGCATTCCTTACCCTCTAGGAAACTCACAGTTGGGAGCTGAATGTAAGAGAGACATTCTTTTTCTCTAACAGGTAAAGTAAATACATAAAATAATGGAGAAGAATAGAAACATCAAGATCAGGGTTTGAAGCCAGGCGCCAGTGGCTCATGCCTGTGATCCCAGCTGCTCAGGAGGCCGAGATCTTAGGATCACGGTTCAAAACCAAAACTCCGTGAGATTCTTATCTCCAATAAACAACCAGAAAACTGGAAGTGGTGCTGTGGCTCTTCAGCCTTGAGCTGAAGAGCGCAGGGACAATGCCCAGGCCCAGAGTTTAAGCCCCACGACCAACCAAAAAAAAAAAAAAAAAGATCGGGGTTTGGGGTATTTTCCTATTTATGTACAGGTATAGAGATGCACCACAAATTTTTTAATGATATTGTCTATTCAGCTTTCCATCTTCATTCTTCTTATCATCACATAAGATACCCTCTCTCCTCTTTCATTATTCTTTCTAAACATCCTATCATCCATAGTTGGCATAACTTATCTTATCATTAACATACTGTTTGATTAGTAAATTATACTATATCTATTGCTTTTTATGAATCATTTTATAGAAATTATTAATGAATATTAATTGTACATATTAATGGACTTCAATTTGACTCTTACCTAATTCTGTAAGAAATGTTCTCTTGAGTTCCTGAGGACAATTCTCTAGGAGTAGAATTATAGGTCAGAGGGAATTTTTTTAAGTCTCTTGATACAAGAGACTGCCAAAGATTCTTCAGGAAAGGTTGTCACAATTGACAGTCCCAAATAAGAGTCCCTAGATATAAAATAACCCACAAAAATCAGTAGCTTTTTTATGTGCCAGCAATGAGAAGAGAGAGAGTAGAATCAGGAAAGCAACTCCATTTGTAATAGCCTCAAAAAAAAATAACAGGAATTAACCAAAGATGTGAAGGATCTCTATGATAAAAACTTTAAAAACCTGAACAAGAAAATTAAAGCAAAGCCAGGTGCTGGTGGCTCATGCCTATAATCCTAGCTACTCAGTAGGCTAAGATCTGAGGAACATGGTTCAAAGCCATCCTGAGTAGGAAAGTCCGTGAGACTCTTATCTCCAATAAATGACCAGAAAACCAGAAGTGGTGCTCAAGTGGTAGAGCACTAGCGTTGAGCTGAAGAGCTGAGGGACAGAGCCCAGGCCCAGAGTTCAAGGCCCATGACGAAGAAAGAAAGAAAGGAAGGAAGGAAGGAAGGTAGGAAGGAAGGAAGGAAAATTAAAACAGATTTAAAGAAGTGAAAAGACCTCCCATGCTACTGGACTGGAAGTATTAGCATTGTGAAAATGGCAATACTGACCAAAACTATCTACAAATTCAATGCAATACCTATCAAAATCCAAAAAGCATTCTTCAATGATAGAGAATAAGCAATCCAAAAATTCATATGGAATAACAGAAGACCCCGAATATCAAAAACAATATTTAGCAAGAAGAACAGTGCTAAAGAAATGTCAAAACCAAATTTCAAACTCCATTAAAAAGTTGTAGTAATAAAAACAGCTTGGTACTAGCACAAGAATAGGTCTGGAGACCAATGGAGTAGAAGACCCAGAAATGAGCCCATACCTATAGCCACCTAATATTTGATAAGGGAGCCAAAAACTTAGGACGGAAGAAAAGACAGCCTCTTCAATAAATGATGCTGGCAAAATTGACTATACACGTGCAGAATGCTGAAGTTAGGTCCTTATATATCATCCTGCACCAGAATCAATTCCAAATAAATCAAAGACCTTAATGTAAGAGCAGATACTCTGAAAATATTACAGGGAGGGATAGAGGAAACACTAAGGTACAGATCGAAACTTCCTAAGATCCAAAATTAACAAATCAAAGAAAGACTAGATAAATGGCATTGCATCAAACTGAAGAGTTTCTGCATGGCAAAGGACATCACTAGAAAGATAAAACAGAAAGCTCACAGAATGGGAGATCTTTACTAGCACAAGAGCCCCATATCTAAAATATACTCAGAGCATTAAAAAATTAAATCTCCCAAAAATGAATCCTCAAAGAAACAACAACCCAATTAATAAATGGGCTAAATAAAGACCTAAAGAGGGACTTCTCCAAAGAAGAAATAAGAATGGCCAATAGACACATGAAGAGATGTTCAAAATCTCTAGCCATAAAAGAAATGCAAATCACAACAACATTGAGATTCCACCTTACCCCAGTTAAAATGGCCATTATCAGGAAAACCAACAGTAACAGATGCTGGTGGGGATGTGGCTAAAAAGGAATGCTACTATACTGTTGGTGGGAATGTAAACTTGTTCAACCACTCTGGAAAGCAGTATGGAGGTTCCTCAAAAGACTAAACATGAACCAGCAATCCCACTTCTGGGCATCTATCCAATTGACCACAAACCAGGTTACACTAAAGCCACCAGTGTGACCATGTTCATTGCAGCATTGTTTACCATAGTTAAGACATAGAATCAACCCAAATTCCCCTCAGTGGATGAACAAATCAAGAAAATGTGGTATATATACATAATGGAATTCTATGCTTCCATCAGAAAGAATGACATCACCCCATTCATAAGGAAATGGAAAAAAAATTATACTAAGCAAAGTAAGCCAGACCCAAAGAAACATAGTTTACATGATTTCCCTCATTTGTAATAACTAGAATGTGCCTATAAATCTATAACTCAATGGATAGTAAAAGACAAATAATTACACCAGGACAGGATTAATTAAACAGCAGTCTAAACATTCACACGATGAGAATAAAGGAGGATATTCTTGGGTAGGGACATCAAGGGCTCAATAGCTATGTGCTTAAGATCATGTAAAATGACATTTATCAAAATGAACTCCAAGAAATGGAAGTAAGAGGTTTTCTACTATATTGTTTTCAATTCTTTTTTTTCTTTTTTCTTCTTTTTTTCTTTATTCCTTTCTGTCCCTGTTTTAGATTTCTGTAATCCTTTGTCTTGTATATAAGTTTATCTGATTTGGGGAGGAAAAGGGGAAGCACAGAAATGGAAGAACAAAGGATGAAACAATTCAGCAGTGAAACCCACCAGACACTGTGTTGGAAATGAACTACACAACTTTGGGGGGTGGGCATGGGAAGTCAGGAGGGTTTACTGGGAGAGAATAAAGGAGGAAATATACTCACTACCTGACTTATGTAACTGTAACCTTTCTGTACATTACCTTTACAATAAATTTTTTCATGAAAAAAGAGTAACCTAGAAACAGAATATCTCCAAACATTCATTCAGGTACTTCAACAAAGACATTCAACAGCTCAACTTTACATCCTGATAGACCATTATGTTTTTAGCACATTGGTATCTTCATCATTAAAGGCCTTGAAACATACACACAAACCAAGGCTGGACCTACCCGCTGAACATGAATGCCCTGCAGTGCAGCCACTCGACAAGGGGTTGGCTGGTTGCCAGTGCTTCCCAGTCCCAGCTGTCCGTTCCCACTGTACCCCCAGACATAGACCTAGGGGGAGATGAGAAACTCAAGGCTTATGTTTGTTTGAGAAATATAACATGTCATGCTCATACAACAGAGATATGGTAAAAAAAAAAAAAAAAGAAAGAAAGAAAAAAATGAAACAAACTACAAAATGACCTTCCTACCTCCCCAGTGTCTGCGACAGCCATTGAACACATCTGTCCACACGCTATGTTCACCACAACTTTGTTCTGCAAGTAACCAGTGACTCTTCGAGGGATGGGCTGATTCACTGTTGACCCAGAGCCTACCTGCCCAGAGTTATTATAACCCCAGGCAAACACCTATTGAAAGCAAAGTTTGATATGTGGAATATCATTTATAGTCTCTCCACTAAATACTGACACATTCTTCTTAAGGTGTTTCAGAGCTAGCCATTCTCACAACACTGGTATTAAAGTTTCTGTAACTTACTCTCTCATTAGTTTGTAACATGAGGATATTGTTATTATCTAGTCAAACAATAATAATTACTATTAAATATCAATTACACAAAAGTATTTACTTTGCCTCAGCAATATTTTCAATATTCCAATATTTCTGGATTTCCCTTTTCTTCAATAATCTCTTCATCATAGCAATATAGAAGGAAAGATAGATTAACCCCACAACTATGAGTTGCTATCAAGAATATGACTGAATTTGAGAAAAGTGGTTATTTTAATCTAATGGTCCTATTTCCAGGACTGATAAAGGAATCTATAGAATGCAACAGGAAAAAAAAAAAGGGTGGGGAGCTTTACATTAACTGTCCTTACCTCTCCATCAGAAGTTAGGACCAAAGAATGGTAAGACCCACAGGCAACTTCAATCACCTGCTTGTTTGACAAGTTAGTAGAAATATGACAGGGTACTAAACCATGATTCGTTGTTCCATTGCCCAACTGGCTATAAGCATTGTGACCCCAAGTAAAGACTTCTCCTTCTGAAAATAAAAGAAAGTAACCACCTTCAAAATGTTTGTTTCATTATATGAACACATATATTGTATGGCTTCCACAGATGATAACACAGTTACTATTTATAAATAATTAAAGTACACATCTATGTACCAATCTCAAGTAATAAAATACAAAGTCCTTCATACATGCATCTTGCATAAATTGTTTCCTGTTTTTGAACTTTAAATAAATGGACTCATACAATATGTACCCATATTGCCTCTTTGTATTATGTTCTACTTTCTTCTGACCTATCTTCCAGTTTACTGATTTTCTCCTGTGATAGAGAATTTGTTCAGTGAATTTTCTTTTTGATACCTACACTGTTTACTTGGGTCTTTTCTAAATCTTTTATGATCTCTATAAAAAATTTTTCAAACAACAACTATAAATGCCTTGTAATCAGTGTTTAATTTATATTAAATTCTAATGTTTGATATTTAGTAGTCAGTTCTTTGGGTCTGTTGCTTCTATTGGTTCTCTCTTTTTTTTTTTAAGAATGTACAGGAGGCCATTGGTTTAGAGTAGGCCTAACAAACCAAAGCAAAATAGTCATTCCTTGTAGTCATTTTCCACCTTACCAAGCAGAAACTAAGTTGTTTATTTGGTTTGAGAATCAAGAGAGGAAGACAGAGTAAAATTGCCTAACATGCCAGTTTCAGTCAGCAGATAATGATGTTCCCTCTGGTTTAATCCTTATAAGGAAAATAACTGAAAAGATCAGTCTGCTCTCTTCTCTGTTTCCTCGTCTTCAGTCCTACTCTATCTATAAAACCAACCTCCTCTAATCAGGTTATCATAATGCTTATTCTGTTTTATGGAATGAAGTATTGTGTGATTGTAGTATCACAAAGAAAAGTCAATTAGAATCTTTAGTATGGGCTGGGAAGGTGACTCAGTGGTAGAGTGCTTGCCTGATATGCATGAGGCCCTGGGTTCGATTCCTCAGCACCACAAAGCAGAAAAAAGCCTCAAGTAGTGCTGTGGCTCAAGTGGTAGGTAGAGTGCTAATCTTGAGCTAAATAGCTGAGGGATAGCGCCCAGGCCCAGAGTTCAGGCTCCATGACTAACAAAAATAAATAAATAAAAATCTTTAGTAAACTAAACTTGTGATTTTGTCATTTTTTTCTATGCCTATTTGGATTATCTGTTGTTTATAATCACTGAAAAGATATTTGTGATGATTTCCCCCAGGTCTTTAGTGGAAGAGCCTTCTTCTAGAAATGATCTGCATTAATTTCTATAATACCTTTAAGGTACTTCTAGTCCAGAATTGCTAATAAATTCAAATTTGAGGTTTCTAGGACCATTGAGTCTAATATGAATTAAAGTAACCTATGGATCTAAACTAATTAATCTAATCCAGAGATCTAAACTCTGAGAGAACGTTTCTCTCTCTCTCTTAAATTTTTTTCGGAGGGAGGTAAGACTGGATCTTACTTGGTAATTCTAGGATGGTCTCAAAATAGTGATTCTCCTGTCTCCATCATCCAAGTGCTGGGGGTTTATTTCATTTCCCTCTTTTTTCTTCCCTGCTTTGCTCATAGAAAAAAGTTTTCCTGTTCTGTTCTTAGGAAGTAGCTAATCCTTTCCTAGAGAGGAAGCTTTTCCTGTTCAGCCTACTTGGGAAGTTTCCTAGGCAGGATCTTGACTTGTGTTCCTTCACCTCCTGTGTACATACAACCACAGCTTAGCTCCAGCTGATAGAGACAGGCACCTTGAAAGCAACACAGTAACCAATTCTCCTATATACTAGGATTTGATACCTTTTCTTTTCTTTTCTTTTTTTTTCCCTCTGGTCGTGGGGTCTGAACTCTGGGCCTGGGCACTGTCCTTCAGCTCTTCAGCTCAAGGCTAGCACTCTACCACTTGAGCCACAGCGCCACTTCCGGCTTTTTTTCTTTTTGCTTATGTGGTGCTGAGGAATCGAACCCAGGGCCTTATGCATGCAAGGCGAGCACTCTACCTCTGAGCCACCTTCCCAGCCCCTGATACTTTTTCTTAAATTTGGTCTAACCATTCCTTTCTGTCTTGTCAGTGCTTTATGAGATAAAATAAAAGCAAAACAATCTAGAACTTTAGTTGTTTTCAGTGAAAATTCTCACCTGCCATTACTGGCAACACCAAAACCCTGGAACTTTTAACTCTAAGGTATAATTTAATTTTAATTGTATAGTCTAATTCATAAAATAGCCTTAAGAATGTTTAATTTCATGTCACTATTTAGCTCAACAATCTCAAAATGCCAGAATCCACATTTAGTCACTCAATTCATGGCTCAGACATCTAAAGTTCAAAATGTAGTCATCTCAGGGGTCAAAGTAAGTATAAGATTCTCACACAGTAATTTCATTTACAAAGAGAAGAGGAACACTGGACATGCAGCAGGTATTCCTACATCTAAAATACCAACACTTCCTACCTTCCATCTGCTACATTATCTTGGTCAGATCTTGAAATACATTGTTATTTCACCTTTTCTAATGCATGGTCAAGTTCACAGGACAGAACCAGCAATGCCCTCCCAATCAGAACGTTCCTCTCAATTCCAGGGCAGTAATAGTCTTGTTCCTCAATCAATAAAGCAATGGCTACAATTCTCTGTGGAGTTCCTGTTACCTGTTGTTGCCAGGATGACGTGTGGGCCACTTCCATAGCTGAGGCAGGCAATCTTCTTGCCACTTAAGGAATCCAGTCTCCGAGGTTCAATGGTGTTCTGGATGTTACCTAAACCCAGACAGCCACTGCAGTTTGTGCCAAGCACAAAAATCTGTGGGAAAAACACTGTCAGTTCAAGTTGGCCAATATGTGATGAGCCAAGAACGACCACAAATAAGCGCAGTCTTCCTGTGCAAACTGCTTCATAGAGAATAAGTACAAATCAACTTGCCATGCTTTAAACAAACATACAAACAAACAAAAATACTGCTTTGATCCTCAATTGAACAAATCCATTACTAAACATATGGGGTGGCTGGATGTTTTTCTTCAAGTTACCTCATCATTTATTGTGGTATATAAAGCCTCATTTCCAGCACTGCCAAAGACACAAGCCTGACGAATTAACTGCAGTTCTTCCTCAGAACAAAGAGAAAAAATTGGCCACTTTCCCACATCTAACATCTTCAATGACGAGAGAGTAGCCAGTACTGGCTGAAAAGGAAAAATAGAATAGATTAGTAATACAAAAAATGCATTTTCTTAGTCCCTTTACTTCTGTAGAAGGGGGACCAAAATCTTAAGAAGCAAGTCCTAAACATGTGTGTCTGTCACTGAGAGCCCCTCGCAGCTGCCTCAGGAAGGCTTTTGCAGCAAGTAGGCACCAGAGGCCCAGATGGATTCAGATCTCATCTATTCATTTTCCTCAAGGGCACAGGAACTACCCAGGGTTGGCCCTTAGGAAGTTGAATAATCAACAAGTACTTTAAATATTGGCTGTGTTTTCAATGTAGCCATGGAAACAAGGCTTGGTTAAAAAAAAAAAGGCAAGAAAAAACTTAGGGAGAGAAAGAGGAAAGGGAGAAGGGCTACTTGGATGCCTCAATCCTAATAAAACAAATCCTTGGCAACGGTCAATGCTGAAGGGGCCACCGGAGGCATGGTCCTGGGCAAGCATCAGCCGATGTTCAGTTTGAGGAGTGGCTGGATTTCCTCCCTGCTCAACCCTCAGGTTTGGGACTGTTTAGAAGAAACACTCAGTTTGCTACAGCAGCTATAACTAAGTACTGCAAGCAGGAGGTTTAAACAACAGAGATTATCCCACAGTCTGTAGACCCAAAGTTCAAAATCAGCTATTTTTGCTCCTTCTGAAAGTGATATGGAAAAGATCTATTCTAGTCTCCACCTTGGCTTGCAGGTGGCTGCCTTCTCCCTAGGTCGGTTTGCACCATCTACCCTGGATGTGTATGTGTCTACATTCCTCCTTTATATAAAGACAGCAGTTAGACTACACCAGGGCTCATCCTAGTGACTTCATCTTAACTAATATAATTATATCGGCCATGATTCCATTTCATGTTGAAGTACTGGTCAATTAGGACTTGAACACATGAATATTGAAGGGTTACAAGTAAGGCCATAACAGCATTTATTAAGATCATCATAAAATTGTCTCAAAAGTCTTTATCTGCTACTGACACATTTTATTTACATATTTTTTGACATGTAAAAATTTTGAATAGTACAGCAAGATGCATAAACAGACAATATGCCATGCTGATACCTGCTGTCTAATGGCATGTTTGCTCAGTTCACATGATAACATGTTTGATTTAATGGAGCAAAAATTATCTGGCCATATGCATCACCTACTAGATAAACCTTACTAGGAATGACTTCTAATATAGACTTGTGGGCCAGCCACTTATTTTCTAGAAAAGAACATTGCTCTTTCCATCTTAGGAGTCACTTGAGGATGTCTGAGAGCACAAGAGAACAATACTTCACTTGCAAAGTGCATGCCACAGATTTACAAGGTGCCCCCATCCTTATTACCCAGCATGCTTCTGAGGCCACCTTCATAGGCTTCTAGAATATAGTTCAAGGAGACAGAAAGACTCAGTCTCTTTTACCATCATGCCATTGATCTTTTGCATGGGGTATCATAGATGATATATATATTGGTTAAATGAACAAATAAATGTTCAGCTAAATGGCTCTACTTCTACTTCCACATTCAAAACATGCCTTCCAGTCCTACCTTTTGTGACTCCATTACCCTTACCCTGTACCTCCATTTTCTGCTCTGGAATCCAATTTTATTTGAGGGGGGGAGGGGGAGGGGAGGGAGGAAGAGAGGGAGGGAAGGAGGGAAGGAGGGAAGGAGGGAAGAAGGGAGGGAAGGAGGGAAAGAGGGAGGGAAGGAGGGAGGAAAGAAGGGAAGGAAAAGAAAACCAGATGCTAGGGTTCATGTCTGTAATCTTAATTTCTCAGGGGCCAAGATCCAGAGGATGGAGGTGTAAGATCTGCCTGAGAAGAAAAGTACGTGATACTCCATCTCCAAAAATAACCAGAAAAAGCAGGGCTGATACATGGCTCAAATGGTAGAGCACCAGTGAGCAAGCAAGATGAGCAGGCCAAAGGCCCTAAGTTCAAACACCAGTACTGGTAACAGCCCTGTGAAATATTGTTTACTGAAAGAAACGCAATTGTCCAAGGCCACTATACAGAGATGGAAAGATCAGATTATATTAAAAATGTAGTCTAAGTTCCTACTTTAATTTACCTACCTTCTTATCATGAAGGAATCTTATTTTCTAAGAAGTCTGCTTTTTATTGTTTCCTTCTGTAAATTTCAAGAACAAAGTTTGTAATTGATATTAATTATCTAATGTAGATAATGTATTAATATTCTAATTAGAGTTTTTATATATTATATATACGTGTGAGGAGGAGGAAAGTAAGGCACAAAAAAATGACTAAACATCCTACAAAATCAGTAGCTTTAGGTAGAGGAGCCCAGATTAAAGCATATATTTTTTTCCACATATCATCTAATGGCTGAGTGAAAAGTCCACACAAAATGTTATACACCAAGGATAGGTTGGAAGAGACAGGTGAGAATGTTGAAAGGGGGACATTGACCAAGATGCATTGTATTCATAAACTACTTTGTTAAATGGCAATTCCTCTGAACAACTACTTAAAGATAATTTTTTTAACTTTAAAAAAAGCTATATACTTGTAGTCTGCTCTTTGTATTTGTAGGGCTTTGATGGTTGTTTTCAGAGTGCTAATGCCTGCTCTGCACTGTCTTCTGCAAACAATACTGGTAGCAAGATGCAATGACTAACTACTAGCTCATTTTCCTTCATTTCATTCTGCTTGATTACAAAATCAAGTGGCTTCCTGGATGCATACAATCAGGCTGTAAATTCCAATCAGCTACTAAACACTTATCTATATGGCAGTAGGTGTCAACTCTCCTCCTAGTCCACTTATACAAATAGCTATAGTGCCCACTGGTAACTCTCTGACTACTGGGATTCCAATGTAGGGTGTATGTGTTTAATGCAACCTATAGTATTACCTTTATTAAAAGGTGCTACTGAAACCGGGTACCTGTGGCTCAACACCTGCAATCCTCAGTAAGAGCACAAGGCCCTGTGTAGAAGCCCCAGTACTGGCACATGTGCACACACATACACAAACACATACACACATATAATAATAATAAAAGATGCTACCAATCAAGAGAACGTCAGGTATGACAGGATTACTAAAGATAAAATTATTCCCTTCCAGGTCATAATCTAATGGAACATAAATAATTGTACTACAGTCTATGAACACCAGATAGGTACTTCCGGTTTTGTTTTGGTGCAGGTTCTGGGGCTTGAACTCTGGGTCGGCTTTTTGCTAGTTAATTGGACAAAAGAGTCCTTCAAACCATGATTCTCAGATCTCAGCCTTCTTAATAGCTAGGATTATAGGTATAAGCCACCAACCCAGGCTTCAGATATATACTTTTTAAATATATCAAAAGGCCAATTGCTGGACATTAGTCATCAAAGCCTGATGTTTTTAAGGCTGTGAGAAATAAGAAAATGATGGCTTAATTTATAAAATGCACATATTTATTCTTTTCAAGACATGAACATTTAATAGTAGTTTCATGGAATCTTACACCGTCAATCACATTAGAATAAATGCTTCTGTCCAACATACTTATGAGACAATGTATATAAATTCACACATAGCACTTGCAGAAGCTTTGATTGTGAGACAGCCATTCTGCATGGTGGCAGTGTGTCTGCAAATACCCTCAGCAGCTCTGTTCCCTGAGTCAGATAAGAGATGGGCTAAGTAAGAGCTGACACCAGCAGGAAACAAATCTATGTGTGGAAACAAGCCTCCATAGGAATGGCCCAGCACCATCATGTCCTAGAATCTAGTCCTAGCGTGGACTAAGTAACCTGACTGTACTACCATCTACAGGGTAGTTAACCCCAGGCCAGTGGTCTTTTATTACTTAGATCACATTCAATCCACTTCTCCCACTTGTAGCTGGCATCTCTGGAAGGCAAAGTAGTGAGATAATCTCAAGGAAAACATAATAAAGGAAATACAGGTGCCATAAAATCAAGAGATCATCCCACCAGTCTTTAGAGAGTATGTTGCTGTACAGCCATGCTTCCGCATCAATGTGAGGAATGTAGTATATAACCACACTTCTTTTGATGATGGATAACCACCAAGTTGTTATAATTCAACTTAAAATATAGTCTATGAATGCCAACTGCAGTAGTACCTGCCTGTAATCTCAGCACGTGGGAGGCTGAGTCAGAAGGATTCAGTTTAAGGCCAGACTGGGCTACATAATGAGCCTGTCTTAAAACACATACATACATACATATATACATATATATGTACATACATACAGCCTGTGCATAATTACTTCCATCTCTTGTTGAATATTTACTGTGTTTTATTAAAGTGAAAAGCTGGCACAAAAAGTGACTGTTAGTATTAAGTTGTTTAATGGTGATGAACAGATATTTGGTAAATTAATAACATGATGGGAATCACCAGGCATGCCAAAAAGTGTGCAATTTTTAGTATCATTTGGATGCTGACTGGACTTAAAGCTAGTTGAGTGTTATGTTCACATATGATGGAAAAATTAAAAGATATCTGCAATGAAATGAGAACATATCTTCTAAGATTACATAATATATGTATTAATCTTTGGAGAAGTAATAAATGTTGTTCAACTCAGGAGCTTTTTTGCAGGACAGACCCAGACCCATGTGTAAGCAGAGGCCTGTCATCCTCATCTGCCCGCACCCTCCTTCACCCCAGTCCTCTCTCTTCCCTTCAGGTGGTACCAGTTCCCCGTTGCCCTTCAGCATTCCACAAACCTGTGACATCTCATTCAGTACACAAGAGTGCCACAAAGGCAGACACTAACTTATTGGTCCTCACATCAGTGGCCAATGGATATCTGATGAAATATAATTCATGCAAGAGAACACACATGCTGTCAGGGCATGCTTATTTTTCCTAACCTGGCCACTTTCTCCATAGAAAAGGGGAAGTTCTTCTTCCATATGGACTCAGTCCTGTGCAGTCCCTGAAGGAAAAGTACATGGTAAAATCAAGATTCCATATATCAAATGAAACTGAATAGGTTAAAATTATTTTACTTCTAGATGAGGGGTAGTGTTGCACACTTGTAGTCACTCCACAGAGAGGCTGAGGTAGATTGCTTGAGGCCAGAGAATAGCCTGAGAAAAAAACACGTGAGACCCCATGTTTTTAAAAAAAAATTACTTTTAATTAACAAAGACAAGTTAAGCTTAACTATAGGAAAGGGAAGATAAGGGAAATAAGCTTTAGGTATGGGAGTTCACAGCAATAAAATCCACAGGTGTTCTGTTCTGGAATTCTGATAGAATCAATCTGCTGAGGTCTGGGGAGGCAATCCCAGGATAAATGTAGGTCCTTCTAGCTACAAGAACATCAGCAGGATTTTTTCATCTCAGAGTTAATGTTCTATAAGTAAGAAAAATTCATAAATTTGATATCTTGGTCAACTTTTTTTTCTGGGTTTAGAAAATTCCAGTGAAGATCAGACTTATCAATTCTCAGTTCCACAGAAGAATATATGACTTGCTAAGCTGTAAAATAAATACATAAAAGGAGAAATGAATGAAAAGGATGAATGAATAAACACAGCTTTGTTTCCAAGACTTTAACAACAACAATAAAAATAGTCTGAAATAACAGTCATCCAGTATGGAGCAAGAATACTGAAAGTTCTTATCTTAATAACCATCTCTGGGCTGGGAAGGTGGCTCAGTGGTAGAGAGCTTGCCTTGCATGCATGAGGCCCTGGGGTTCGATTTCTCAGCACCACATAAGCAAAAAGAAAAAAAAGCCAGAAGTGGCACTGTGGCTCAAGTGGTAGAGTGCTAGCCTTGAGCTGAAGAGCTGAGGGACAGCGGCCAGGCCCAGAGTTCAGGCCCCACAACCAGACCCCCCAAAAAAAACAAAACAAAACAAAAAACAACCATCTCCACATGCTGCCACCACGTGGAAGTGACAGCAGACACTGGAATGACAAAAGCAGCCCTCCGGAAAGCATGAAGTATGTGCACACTGTGGTTAAATTCTTACCAGTTATCTATCCTATCCATCTATATCTATTCAACAAGAATACATATAAACACATTATCCATGCTGAATATACATTCAACAGGAATGATAACCAAATATATATATATGTATATATATATATATTCAACAAGATAGATAACTGGTATGTATATGTGTATATATATATGTGTGCATGTGTATATATATGTATACAACCATATATATGTATATACACATATATATACATACATATGTGTGTATACACATATATACATATATTATGTATGCATTACACACACATATATGTATATATAAATACAAAATGTAAATATAAATATATATAAATATGTATATATAAATATAAAATGTAAATATAACAATACATATATAACGTATGCATAATATACATACATAATGCATACATAATATATGTATTGTTATATTTACATTTTATATTTGTATTTATATATACGTATATAAATATATAATATAAACAGTATCTAATAATACTTTTTCCTAATTTATTATATAGGATATTATTTACTTAAATACAATCATGCTTCAAGTACTAATCTCAGAAGATTTTATCTGATATTCACTACAACAGAATTAGAACCTTTCAGCAGATAATCAAAATAAGGTTAAGCCCTTTAAAAAATAGAGAGAGAGAGAGAGAGAGAGAGAGAGAGAGATCATGACAACACATCATTGGACAAGCTTACTATTAATCACTAAGGCCAAGTCTGAATAGACACTATAAATTTATTTATTCTTTTTTTTTTTTTGGTCTATCGTGGGGCTTGAACTCCGGGCCTGGCTGCTGTCCGTCAAATCTTCACCTCAAGACTAGCACTCTACCACTTGAGCCACAGGGCCACTTCCGGTTTTTCTGGTGGTTTACCGGAGATAAGAGTCTCATGGACTTTCCAGCCCGGGCTGGCTTTGAACTGTGATCCTCAGATCTCAGCCTCCTGAGTAGCTAGGATTACAGGAGTGAGCCACCAGCGCCTGGCTTTATTCTTTTTGTACGTCATGGGGCTTGAACTCAGGGTTGCTGTCTCTGAGCTTTTTCACTCAAGGCTAGCACTCTACCAACATGGAGCTACAACCACTTCTGGTTTTCTGGAGGTTAATTGGAGATGAGTTTCATACACTTTCCTGACCAGGCTGGCTTTGAACTGTGAACCTCAGATCCCAGCTTCTTGAGTAGTTAGAATTACAGGTGTGAGCCACCTGCTAAGGGACAGGACCCAGACCCTGACCCCTGACCCCTGACTTCCAGCCCCAGTACTAGCACAAGGGAAAAAAAGTTTGTGAATTTCACCAAGAGTATTGGAACAGATTGGTCCACAACAAAGCTATATTAAATTTAAAGAGATTACTAAGCTCATCAATACTGGCCTTTTCAATCATACCTAGCAAAAGTGCCTTTTTCAAATATGGAAAATATTCAACATAAACTACAAAACACTTAAATTGTTACAAGTAATGTAATGTACTTGAGTTTTATTTGTAAACCCACTTGAAATTCAGTCTCTTAAAAAAAAAAAAATTCACGCGGAGCGCCAGTGGCTCAGGCCTGTAATCATAGCTACTCAGGAGGCTGAGATCTGAGGATTATGTTTCAAAGCCAACCTGGGCAGGAAAGTCTGTGAGACCTTATCTCCAATAAACCACTAGAAAACCGGAAGTGGCACTGTGGCTCAAGTGGTAGAGTGCTCCCTTTGAGCTAAGAGCTGAGGGACAGCACCAGGCCCAGAGTTCAAGCCCCCGACCGACCCCCAAAAAAATCTAATTCAGGGTGGGAACGTGACCTAAACGTTGCCTAGTGCACATGAAGCCCTGGGTTTGATTCCTCAGTACCACATAAACAGGAAAGGCTGGAAGTGGAGCTGTGGCTCAAGTGGCAGAGTGCTAGCCTTGAGCAAAAAGAAGCTGAGGGGCAGTGCTCAGGCCCCAGGACTAGCAAAAAAAAAAAAAAAACTAATTCAATTTTTAAATAGGTCTTAAAGTATCTATTAAACAAAATCCTAGATATAGGCCTGAGAAAGTAAATAATTCCTAGAACATGGTACTCTCCTGACCTCAGCTCATTTCCACTTAGGATTCCTTTTAGTCAGTATCATATACATTCAACACAATACAGAAAATGTCTAAGTTACTCACACAATACCATCTACTGGTTCTTGTTAGCTCAAAATGTTTTCCACGGGAGATACATATGAATTAATTATCTCGTGTTAGACTGACAAGGCTTAAGACATTAAAGACACACTTTGGTAGTATATTACTGTTTAAAAAAAACTATTATGGTTTAAAACTTCCTAGAGACTTTCATGTTGTTAGGAGGGGATCACCACTGAACTAAAATACATATTCCTTTCAGATATCAAAAGCTGTAAGGATCCTATCAGCCTTCCATTGGTAGAAATTATGAACACCCCTTACAAGAGGGAAACTATCTGCTCCTTTGTAGCAGCACACACATTCCCACATGGACCTGTTTTCAGCTTTGAATAGAAGGAGTCTTTGACATCACTCTACAATACCAATAATTCTGATCCTGGACAATTATGATTTATAGTAACTCCAAAGGAACTCCAAAAGTAGCATTAACTTCCTAGCATTTTAATTTTACTTTAGCTACTGGTAAGGCTGAAATTGAACATGACAGTGATCTAATGGTATAAGCAAATTCAGTGTGTCTCCTACATTTTAGTCCTAGATTAGTCATTTTTAATGTCTGAATGTTGACTGCTTGTGATGTACTTAAGTAGAAAGGACCTTAGGGGAAACAATTTACCTGCTAAAATTGTTCCTGTTGTCCTCTTTCTCTAAGTCTCCTATAAGTAAGGTCTAAAAGTTAATTATGTTTGTCTGGCTCATTCAAAACTCTCTAAGAGAGATGAATATGATAGCATAAAGTCTATCATATTTAAGCTCCTCTGCTACAGTTTCAGATAAAGAAAAGGCACCAGACGCAGTGGCTCACACCTATAATCCTAGCTATCAAGAAGCTAAGATACGAGAATTACAGTTCAAAGTCAGTCCAGGCAGTAAAGTCTGAGACTCTTATCTTCAATTAACCATCAAAAAGTAGAAAGTCGAGGTGTTGCTCAAGTGCTAGAGCACTAGCCTTGAGCAGTAAACGCTAAATGATAGCCCTCAGACCTTGAGTTTAAGCCACTAGTGTGTGTGCGCGCGCGTGCACGTGCACACACACACACACACAAATTGCAAAGTGAAGTAAATTGTGAATATACAGCCGTCTCTTGGTATCAAGGGAGACAAGTATAAAGACACCCCACATACACATGCACTCCAAGAACACCAAAAGCTGTGGACATTTATGCCCCTTATCTGAAATAGCCTAACACTGCAGATAATGTACACTTAGCCTCCTCTTCATATACGTTAAATCATCTCTAAGTTAATTATGGCACATAATACAATGTAAATGTTATGTGAATATTAATATCCTTTATTGTTTAGAAATAGTGACATATAAAAGTACATGTTAGTATAAACTCAAGAAAAATTCAACTCAGAATCTATGGGTGCAGAACAACAGTATATGGAAAGCCAACTGTCTAATTTTCCTCCGCACAGTTTTAGTGTTTGGTTAGACTCTTCCCTGTATGAATCCAGGTTCCTCATTTGATATGAGTGGTTAAATTGAACTCTATTTGAAGAAAATGATTTTTTAACTATATACCATAAATTCTGTATCTGTCACAATGATTATTCTACAGATTGCACCCATGAAAGATATACTAGAGCATGGTAACAAGTATTTTCTCCTAGAACGATAACTAGTTCTAAACTCCTTCCACTTTGTATGCCATCTTAAATGTACCCTTGCAGTGGTGGGAAGCATCTGGTCCAAGGGCAGTATAAGGAAATCTCTTGTGCATAGAGGGCATGTGAGCATGACATCCACCTTTGGTCCTTGGCTCCACCCATCCCTGAGCTCCTCCCTGCCCAGGAATTCCCACAACATTTCTCTGGATCGGGAGTTGGAGTCCCACTTCATTGATACCATGAAAAAACAACTTCTGAGCTCTGGTTATGGGTAACACAGAGGACCATTAAGATAAAATCATAGAGTGATGAGGTGTTACAGAGTCCGAAGAGCAAGATATAAGAGGTGGGACTAACAGGGCCGTGGTTATTTCAGATGAAGCAGCCACTTCTCTCACAACTGTCAGGAAGTCTAGAATGGGATCCAGCGTCCACGGAGAGACGTGGGTGGAGTCAGAGCGAACTCTGAGGAAACACCTCGCGCCCAAGCCCTGGGGTGAAGGTCCTCTGGGCGTGCCCAGTCAGCCCTAGAGCCGGCACGCGGGAGCGGCGTGCGCGGGAACGCCCCGCTGTGCTTTCCCCGAAACGGCGCGTCTGCAAGAAAAGATGACATTTCACCTGGAACATTCCGATTCTCCGCTTTTCTATGTCAGTCCCAATACCACACACAGGCACGCCACGGAACGCCTCGAGGCACACAGTAACCAGCTGCCAGAAGCCGGCTTAGCCCTGTCCGGGAAGGAGTGCAGCCCAGCGGGCACCGACGGCGCACAGGGCCGGCCACGCTGGACGCTGAGAACGTCGGCTTCCCACAGCTCGGGAAAACCCCAGAGCCAGGCCGGGCTCGGCAGCCAGGCGTTGGCGCAGAGCGCCTCCACACGGGTTTGCTGCGAGCCTCCACTCCAGCGCTCACAGCTCAGGCAGTCCCGCCAGGAACCACCACCCCAGAAGGAGCAAAAAGCCCCCTTTTCGAACTCAGAAAGTTCTAGGCTGGCCTGGGCGGGGTCTTCCCAGTTTCTCCCGGGCTAAAGCCCTCTACTTCCGGTCTGAGCCGCGCGGGGCCTTCCGGCTTAGGATGCGCGAACTGTTTCCCCACGTTCCTCCACACCGCCACCGGCGGCCTGGGAAGCCAGCCGCCCGCGTTTATCCCCGGGAACAGAAACTGCCAGAGTGCGCGGGCCAGGTGCTAGTGACGGGGTGGCGGAAGTGAAAACACGGGCAGCCCACGCCGGGCGAAGAGCGGAAAGACGAGCGGAAAACAGAACGCCCTGAAGGGAGCCACTTTCACAGAAACAAAGGCCCTGGAGATTCCGCCGCTCTCGGCTCGCGCGCGCGCGCAGTGCAGCGTGGGCGCAATGCCAGAGAAGCGCTGTGGCCTCACACGCATGCTCACCACCTTCACACGCCCCCTCCCTCAGGCGCCCTCCGGCCCCGCTACGGGGCCAGCGCTGGGGATCACTTTCGAGCTTTGCACGCCCAGCCGCCCACCACCACCCCGCCAGCCGACTTGCGCATGCGCGGCGACGCCTAGGCCCTCAGTTCATCAGGGGCCCCGGGGGCCCCTGCCGCCTGCCGCCGCGACGGAGGCGGTCTGGGAGCGCTTCCCAGGCTTGAGGTACCTGAAGAGCGGGCTGGCTTTACGTCCGGCGCCTCCCCTCAGCCTCCCACGCCATCCCTCCACCTGCTTACCTCCGGCTCCCGCCGGAGCCGCGTCCGCTCCGCCTTCTGGGTCGCCGTTAGGCACGGTCTGGGCCCAGCGCCACGACGGCTTGGCGCCTCCCCCTGCCCGCAGCGGCCTGGCCTCGGCGGCTTGCGCTCCAGTGCCCGGGCGGCGGTGGGGGGGGAGGGGGCCGGGGCCTCGCCTCGCCCTCGCCTCGCCCTTCTCCCTTCCCCCTCCCTCTCCTCCTGGGACTCGGGACGCCCCGTCTCCACGGGGGTCCCTGGGAACCCCGGCGGGACGCGCTTCGCTCCAGGGTTGTGGTCCCCACACGTGGTCTTAGGTTGAAGCTTGAGTCCATTGTGGGTGGTTTTTTTGTGTCTGATTTCATTCTGCACGGGGACAATCTAATTTCCCCAGCTCCGTGTACTGGCCGGCCGCACGGCCTTCTTTTCATGGGGTGTTTTTGGCCGCCTCGTCCAAAGTCTTTAAAAAGAAGGAGATTTGGTTTCTGTGACCACGTGGATAAACCGGACTGGGAGGACTTTATCTTGGAGTTTATAAGCAGGCTCAGGGGACAAATATCTCCTTAATTGCATGTGACATCTCTTCGAGGAGAGAGAACAGAATGGCGGATACTAAAGCCTGGGGCTTGGGGAAACGCAGGGAGAGATACTAATGAACAGATGCAAAATGTCTGGCTAAGAGGACCAGGTACAAGGAAGCTGTAGTTAATAAGAATAGCCACGTATTGTATGCCGGAGGTTGCTAAGAGAAATAGATACTAACTGATGGAGGGTTTTTTGTTAAGTTTGAGGCAGTCTCCCTTTTCAGCCCAGGCTGGCACGAAACTCGTGAGTCTCCTGTCTCAGTCTCCAGCTTCTGTCCCTCCACCCATCACATCCTCCATAGTAATGTCACAAAAAAGTAAGGTAATGCACATGTTAATTAGCTTGATTTAGCCAGTCCACAGTGTATACATATCAAAACATGTTGTAAGATACAAATATAATGTTGCCAGCTGAACTTTTTTTTTAAGTAGTAATTTCACACCAATTTTCTTTGCCTGGCTTTTTATAGTATTTTATCTCAATCCTTAGGATAACCTGCACTTTAAGTAATCGTCATCGTCTTGAAGACACTTCCTGTAATTTGCCTAGAGTCCTATAACTAGTGGGAGTTGGGGGTGACTGAACTTCATGCTCTGGACCATGTAGCCGCTTTCAAATTAATTAGGAAAGCAGGCCAAATAATAAAAGGCCTTGGCAATACAACTAGATGCATCACAAGATCTTACATAGGATTTTAGATTTGGATGCTATAATTCCCTCCCCTTTGACCAGACTCACTGATACAAGAGAGGAAAGGGGACCTGGAGGAGAGAATGCATTTGAGAAAAAGTGAGTTAAAATAATAAGATTAGGTATAGAAGTTAGGAAAGAATGTAAAATTGACCAATTAATAGTTTCTGAGCTTGTTCTTGCAGGCTGGGGGGTGGGGCAGTTCTGGAGCTTGAACTCAGACCTTGCAGTTTTGGGGTTTTTTGCTCAGGGTTAATGCTGTACTACTTGAACCACATTTCGCTTCCAGCTTTTTTGCTGGTTAATAGGGGAGAAGTGTCTCAGGAACTTTTTTGCCCAGAATGACTTTGAGCTTCAGTCCTTAAAACTCAATCTCCTGAGTATGGTTATGGGTGTGAGCATGTCACATTTCACTTTGGCAGTGTTTGCTTCACAGTGGTATATACTGGCAGTGACCCTTAGTCAGGAAATGACTCCTAACCTGGAGACATTTTCATTTCCATCTTCAGCTTTTCCTTCCTTGTACACCAAAGGATATGACAGGCACAATGCTAGCTCACTTACTCCCAGCAATGGAGTAGATGCTCTTTTGCAGCTACTTCAGGTCAATGTTCTGCTATAAATTGGCTTTTCCCAGCATTGAAGAGGATTGAAGATGAATTGCTGGTAAATAAGGAGAGGTTTCATGGCAGACAATGGTTCTAAGTCATATTGGTATCCAGAGCATACTAGCATAGCCTAATTTACTCTTAGTTTTGACATTAGAGCTTGGATCAAATCCTCAACTTGCAAAATGGCTCATTTACCCTGCTCTGCTTTCCTGTGTATGCAGTTCTCCTGGGGCAGCAACAAATAGGTCAAGGGCAGGATTTGAGTTACACTGGCTCTCCTGCTCAAACACCACATTAATTGTTCTTATGACCCAAATTAAATAGACTTGAGATTATTTTTGGAACTAAGAATTAACTAAGAAAGTTTTAGAAATAACAGTAGAGTTTGCTGGGCACCGGTGGCTTACACCTGTAATTCTGGCTACTCAGGAGGCTGAAATCTGAGGATCATGGTTCAAAGCCAGCAGGGGCAGGAAAGTCCATGAGACTCTTATCTCCAATTAACCACCAGAAAACCGGGAGTGGCACTCTGGCTCAAGTGGTAGAGCGCTAGCTTGAGCTGAAGAGCTGAGGGACAGTGACCAGGCCCACGGTTCAAACCCCACAACTGACAAAAAATAAAAACAAAAAATAGAGTTTAGAAAATATGACCAGTTACAAAATCAATAAAAAAATCAATATTGGGAAAACTATAAATCAGAGACAAAAAAAGACAAGATGAAGAAGCATACTTTCTTTTTACATAAGATGATGCCACAGTTTAAGACATGCAAATCTAATGTAATACCAGTAAAAAATGATTTTACCTAAATTTCAAAATGAAGTGGAAATCATAGTATGATAGAGGAGGATAATTGGCTTTATAGATTAAATTTGCCCTTTGACTTAAATAATCTCACCTCTAGGAATTTACTAATTGGAAAATATGTAGAAGAATGGTAATCACCACCTTGTGTTTTATTGTGATACATGGTGGCTAAGTCCATTCAGGCTGTCATAACAAAATATCTTAGACTGGGTATTTAATGTATAAGCAACAGAAATGTATTGATCACATTTATGGAGGCCAGAAAAGGCCAAAGTGAGGTCATCAATGAAGCTGATGTTTGGTAAATGCATACTGTGTGCTTCATGGTTGGCACCTTGTTTCTTTGTACTTACAAAGGAAAGAGTAAGAACAGTGTCTTAATATTATCACAATGGTATTAGGTTCCAATATATGAATGGGGATGAAGAGTGGGGGTATCAATATTCACATTCTAGCACATGGGAATAATACACATATAATAAACTAAAACTACATGAGTAAATTGAGGGATAGCAACTACTAGTAGAAACCTGCCAAAAAGCCATGCTTTTTCTTTTTATTGAGGACAATTTATATATTTTTTAATTGAGGACAATGTATATATATCTTTTTATGGAAGACAATTTTTTTTTTTTGGTCGGTCGTGGGGCTTGAACTCTGGGCCTGGGCGCTGTCCCTCAGCTCTTCAACTCAAGGCAAGCGCTCTACCACTTGAGCTACAGCGCCACTTCCGGAAGACAATTTTTATATATAAATATACACACATAAATGTATGTATGCATGTATGTACATAAATATATGCATGTATGTACACATATGTACATGTATGTATACATATATGTGCTAAGTAGTAAGGCTTCATATACCCATCAGTTTCAGCAATTAGGAATTCATGGTGAACCTTGTCTTATTAATACTTTCAGTCCCTCTATCACCATATTAGTTTGAAGCATCTCCTTTCACTTAAATATTTTCATGAATCTCACACAGACCAAAGGAGGATACTCTTAGGAGAGGAACAAAGAAACAATTGCCTATGTACATCTGATCATATAAAATAATATTTATTGAAATGAATTCCAGGAAATGGAAACAAGAAGTTTCTACTTTGTTACTGCTTGTTGTTATTTTTTTGTCTTGTTTGTTAGTTTATCTGTCTTTGGGAAGGTAAAGGGGGCACAGAAATGTAGGGAGAAAGCTGAACAAATAGGGGAAGGGGGGAGCTGAGAAGGGATGGGAAGGGGAAACAAAGGAGGAGGCTACAATGCTTGATAAGAAATGTACTCATTATCTTGCCCATGCAATTGTAACCCCTCTGTATGGTATTTTCAAA